TGGTACCCTTCTGGGGAGGGCACCTTTTCCCAGCTCTCCACCCACCATAACAAATGCTCCCTGTTCCAGGAAATAAGGCCTCTCCCGGCTCCGAGCACCACACTGCACTCTTGAGTGTGTCCTACGTTTCTACCTTCCTGTACCTTTTACAGACATATCCTGTCCGGAAAACGTTTACCATGATGGAAGTTGGTGGGCCTGCAGTCTACAAAAGGGTGGATTAAGTTCCTTATTTCAGCTTCGGGACATCTCAGACATGACCCGGTGACACTCCCAGGAGTCTGGGCCCAGCCTGGGCAACACAGCCAGGTCAGGCTGTCTTAAAAAGGGGGAGTGAGATGACTACAGTTCTGGGCCCACAAAAGTGCAAGAATCAAATGTTTAAAACCACAGATCTTTTTCACTTTGTTGCCAGAGCTAGTCCAAGCTACATTTAAACAGGCAGCAATGTAGACCTCTTCATCTATAATGAAACAGAGCTGTCCTGTTCCATCACCTCTTTCCGCGGGATGGTCATTTTTCCCCTTTTCCTTTCGTAGTGACACATTAAGAATTTCAACCAACGGCCTTCTGAGTTTATGCACAGGTGACTTGTGGTTTCAGCTTCCTCAAAGGCTTCCTTCTGATTTCTAGAAGATGCATAAAGGATTGAGCTGACTTTTCCCACAGTCTTCATAAAACACTCGTGTGGAAAGTGCTCATCATTCATTCATCGGGACAGGTCCTGTGCAGCACTCCACCCGTTTACAGGAAGCACTCCCTCCATGCACGGACAGGGGCCCGGGCTGGGGGACATCTACATCACCCAGAGACGTCCACTTACTCCGTCGGTGTAAAAGATGCAGCTGCTTAATTCAGACAAGCTGCAGTTTCTTTTATGCAAACGCTAAGGATTCCATACAACCTGGTAAGCCACAGAACACTTCAAGAACTGTTGGAGTCAATGGTGTATTTATCTAAAAACAAAACAACAAAGACCATACCCATTTCTTCTTTTGCAAAGGGAAACATTTCCTCCCCTTCTGTGGTCACAAACCACAGATTCCTCAAGTCCCACTAACACTCCCACCCCACTCTTCCAGCCTCCTCAGGCTTCCTCAAAGTGTGATAGGCAGCTAAGTTAGGTAGAAATTAATATACAGTCAGAGAGAGACTGGACTTTCAAAGAAGTGGGTGAAAATAAAGACATCAGAATCGTGGCTGGGGGGAGTGCATCTGAAGAAGCCCAGGCTTCAAGATGCAGAGGCAGTGGCCAGGTCCGCACGCCCCGCTAAGGGACGAGCAGTAACCGAAATTACACTGTAATTAGCACCACCTGGTCCAGGAAGTGCATGTAGGATCAGCGGCCCAGGCGGGTGACCAGAACATCCCTTCCCAAAACGCCTTTGCTCTTTCCACGCACCCTTGCTACATGACTCATTTCCCTACTGGATCAATATTGGCTAAGCAACTATACCTGTAATCCTAAAGATCGCCTAGTCTGACCCACATTGTACCCACACTGTGACTTTGCTGTATAAATTACTCTGACAAAGGGCCTCGGTGGCCAACTCTCGGGACCCCTCCTGTCTCTCGGAGCTCTCTCTCAATAAATCTTTCCTACTCTTACCTCTGCTGTTCCTTGAAGTTCATTCTTCAGTTTCAGGTTACACCAACCCGGCACATGTGATCTAGCAGTGGGAGTCACATTCCTACCCCATCTTAAGGATGGCTTTGTAGGAAAATCCCTTGCTCTCGGGGGCACTGCAGGACCTCTGCCTACCCTGGCCATCACACTCTGCGTCTCTCTCCACCCACTGACACCACTTTCTCTTCACCTAAAGGGGACTTAACATCTTCTGCTGGCTCGACACAAGAGTTTCTCCCACTTAAGAGGAAAAACTCCCACCTGCCCCACCCTCCCTTTCCAACTAGGAGGCAAGGTCATGTTCTGGGGGAGCATTTGTCACCCACACCCCCAAGAATAAAGGGTGCGCAGTCCCCTCCCCCACTGCCCTGGCTGCACTGCTGGCTGAGAAAAAGACTGGTTTTCTGGAGAAGGCTGCAGATAAAGGCAGCCAACCCATGCTGGGTCCTAAGGCACAAAGATGGTCTGCTCCCAGCACGACCTCCACCTACCTCCGACCTGACCCTGTTCCCAGGCCCTAGAGAGGAAATAGGAAAGGACCACGTGGAGTCTCTAACCCTTCAGAGGTATGGGCCAACAGTCTGTGTTCCTCAGGGACCTGAGGGTTAAGCTGTCTCCTTGGGGAAGTGAGGATGGTTGCGTGGCTGGCGATGCAGGACCGGACTTCTTTCTGCAGGGAGATTGGCCTCATTCCCAATCAGGTAAGTAATGCATAGCTCATTTGCTCCACCCCTCCCAAAGTAAAGGAAGGAAAACCCCAGGGAGGTGGTGAGAGGAGAGAAGCTTTGCCCCCCAGTTGGGCTTGCCTTACACAACTGTGGTTAGAGAGACTGTTTTGGCTTGGGTCCAGATGTCCCCCAAAGTCTCACGTGGTACGGCTTTTCAAGGGAGGCTGGAGCTAGACTGTGTGATGTTGAGATTAAGAGTGTGATGCTGGGATCGAGGGTGTGGTTGCTCCATTAGTTCATGATTGGCTTGGCACATGGCTGTGGATGATGGGGGGCCCACCCGGGTGTGAGCACTCCCCGCCCTAAGGATGTGCAGCCTGGATAGCATGTAAGGGATAGGAAGAGGCTGCTGCTGTCACTTGCTGCTGCTGGTGGTCTTCTGCTACCTCCTGCCTGCTCTGCGATGCCACCTTGTCACCCTGCCTTGGAGACAGCCAATTACAGACTGAAACCTCTACAAACTGCGAGCTAAAATAAATCTCCTCATTTAACATGAGGTGCTAGGTGTCTTATCTCAGCAATGAGAAAAAGCAGCCAGGACAGTGCCCAAGCCAGAGCACCTTCTGGTATCTGCCCAAAAAGGCCTCCTGCCAGGTCAAGGGGTCCCCATCGGGTAGTTCAGTTCGGTTACTATGAGTAAGGCAGTCAGGGCGCCTAATGATCGAGTCAAAAGAAAATAGCCCATCCAGGTTAGGAACTAATACAGGCAGAAAAACCAAGCTCAGAGATCCAAGGTAAACACAAGAACAGCTCCAGTAAGAGGGAGCCGAAAACCTTTCTTCCTGGAAGAAGCTACGCCACGTTGGTGGACAGCTCCTCCCCAAGGGGTGGATTTAGAAAAGTTAAAAGTGCAACGTAACCAGTTTCCTTCAAACTCAGCGTCCTGCAAACCAGATAAATACCTCATTTCCTTTAAAACCTAAGCCCACAAAGCCACCCATTTAAAACAAGTCCCTGTACATAAGGCCAAAACAAAGAAGGCACATCAGACATGTATTCAGAATGTCCTCTTGGGTATCCACCAAGAGCTCCTTCTTCTATTTTAAATAAACACTTCTAAATTTTTTCATTTGTCACAAATTTATTTCTCAACTTCATGAGACAAAGAGTTTGGATGTATATAAAATTAACTGCTTCACCAGCACTCGCTACTCTGGAGTCACTGGAGTGCTCCTTTCCCTCCTCCAGCCCCAGCTCAGGAGAAATGACTAAGTCCAAGCAAGGACAGGGAGGTGGCACCCAGAGCCAGACCACCCGAGCTCACACCCCAAGCCAGGCAAGTGTACGGTCAGGGAAAGCAGACTGTCTGTCAGCATCCCAGACATACCCAGTGCGTGGGACGCTTCGTAACTGCCGAATAAACGGACAGCATGTTTTAGCCCCATCTTCCCTCCATGTCTTCTCATTCCATTAATTCTCCGCTAACACAAAAGTTTCTTGAAGGCTGATTCTATACATATTTCTGGATGTACTGGTTGAGTAAGAGACAATTCCTGCCCTCAGGAAAGATACACGAGAGAGTCACAGTACAAAGCACCAGACAGTTCAGAGTCCCATGCATTCCTGGAGACAAACCCAGATGGTTTTGCCTCATCAGTCCTTTATTTCTTCTGCTAAAATGCACGTCCCTTGCTGAGAAAATGTGGTGGTTTGCACACCTGCATCTGTGACTGAGATCCTGAAGAAAACCAAGGATGATCCCTACTCCTTGGGCCTGGGGTAGGCCAAGGGATTACACTGCCCAGCCCCAGATGAGGCCTTGGAAAAGAAGACACAGCATGTGCAACCCACTTACAGCACCACAATATGCAACCCAGCAGAGACACAAATAAAGGCGATTTGGACTATGGGCGCTCTGCTCAGAGCACACTTCCCAGTGGGAGATGGTCACACCCTGTCTCATACGAAACCTGTACAGAACGCACGACTCAGCCACAGATTTCAGTTGACTAATTAGCATTCAGAGTCACCCAAATCACTGTACATCATCTCTATCTTCAGTTTACAGTGGTTCCTCAGCGAGTGTCATGGCTTCCTGCTCCTATTTTTGACAGGCATTTTAACAGTCACTTTTTACCACTGTTAGAATGATGCATGCATGATAGCAAATGTTTAGAAAACACAGCAAAGTTGACTTTAAAACTTACATATACCCTTATGAAACTACTAATATTCCAGTATATTTTCATTTAATCTTTGATTTAATAGCTATTTGAAATGAATATGCCCCATAAGACAATTCTAGGAAAGATCACTGATAAACTTGGACAGAAAACTGCCGTCTGTAATCCCTCAATCTGTACACTTTGTGACTGTAAAAGAAGCAGTCGATTCATTTGAAAAAGACTGAATTCAGCAGGAAGGAACTGGCTCGGGCTGCTTCCGTCTGAACACCAGCCAGCCCTGTGCACCGCCCTATGTGTCTTCACAGCACTGCAGTAGCTGGGGCCAGGTCTCGGTTAACAGCCAGTTGCGAATGAAAACGCTTTAAACACAGGTTTCCTTGATTATTTAACACAAGAAACAGTGTTGGCAGCATTTCCTTGACAACATACAATCATCATTATTTATCAACATATTTAATACGAAATTATTTTCAATACAACTTTCCAATATGCTATTTAAAACAAAAAGCACTGGCTTACCTGATTAAGAAATTATGTAGTCCAACGTCAAAATACCTGTTCAAAGAGACAAAGACAAGCAGGTCAATACAACATATTCGCACCAAGGGTGATGTAACAAAACACAGAAACTGACACTCCGTACGATGAAGGGATGCGCTACCCTATGGTAGTGGTTTTCAAAGGTGAGTCCAGTGTCGGAAATACAAAGGCCCAGACCCCGCCTCAGACAGAGATTCGGAAATCCCGGGGCTGAGGCCTGGCCGTTAGCTGCAGTCGCCCTGCAGGTCACAGCTCTAGGACAGCAAAGGTGCAGCAGACTCACAGGTAACTGCTGTTTTCCCAATACAGGAGTCTTTTTATAACACTATTCTCTTCGTCGTTCCCTTACTCAGAATAAGTAAAAAGGGTTTTGAAAGCACAGAATCACCCAGGTTAAAGGAGGGAGTGGGATCAACGCTGGTCTTTGAGCTACACCCAGTTTTAGTTTGGGGAGATTTCCATGGAGAGCAGCCCTGTCCCAAAGTCTGGTCTGCCAAGCAGGGAGGGAGAAGTGCTGCAGCTCCACGCCCCGGAGCCGGCCTGCGCCCTCACCTCCCACCCGGCGTTTGGTAAGCTCTGGGCAAGAGTGGACCAGTAAGTCACCGTCTCTCCTCCGCCCACACCACCAACTGGCTCAGGCCAAACGAACGGCACTAACAGGCCCATCCCCTCCTGACCCACACGGACTAAGCCAGTGCCCTGCTCTCCCTCTGAGCGTGGCTGAACTCATGCTGCTGCCCAGCAGGCAGTCACACCCCTGGCACACACACTTGGCTGTCCTGACCCGTGCAAAGACCAGCTCCCTGGCTGGCAATCTACCTAAGGTGAGAGTTAATCCTGTCCCTTCGGGCAGTGGACATGGGAATTCACCCTAGAGTGGGGTCCCACCCCGCAGGCCCACCAGTTCCCAGCTCCACCCCCGGAGTGGCCCAGCACTCTTAGCACCCCCCCAATGGATTCCTGGGGGTCTGTTTAAATGACAAGGTTCACTTAGGTCCACACTGTTTTTACAGACCAGGGACTCAGAGCAAGTCAGAATGGAGAAACTCAAAGCCAGAATGTAACCTGCATCATTCGCTGTTACTTACCTGTAGTAATTACAAAATTCAAGGAAAGGAGATCAAGATTCAGAAATTCTATTTCCTCAGAAGCCTTCTGTACAAAGCAATTCTCTACAGGGAGCTCTGCCCACAGGGAGAACAGGCTTGTTCCACCTGATCTTACACTGATCGGAAGAGATGCTAGTTCTTCCTACCAGTGCACTTCATGCAGATTTTAAAAAACAGATGATCGCTCCTCTCAACCAAAACCAAGGCTACTTTGCTCAGCCGCATAAGGAGATGTCTGTGCCCCAGGTAGCAACTGTTAAGCTGCTGTACCTATGGCCGATGGGGGTGGCAAAAAGATGTCAGCTCCTCTGCTGGCTCATCCTGTGCTCACTCGGCCTTTTCCACTGCATCAGCTGCAGCTGCGGAGTCTACAGCTTCCATACAGCGGCAGGGATGGGAAGATGACCTTGAACGATCCATGGGAAATCTAATGACACCATTAGACGCTGCTACTCCTGCCTAGAGCGCAGCATGCACCGTGCTCTGCCCTGGCGCGCATGTGACCCTGAGACAGGCACTGGTATTCTCGTGTGTTCCTGAATGAATTAAAGATCCGAGAGGCCGAGGAGCTCACTGCCAGGAGAAGCGGCAGCTGGGGTCAGGCTGAGCTCTAAGGGGACGAATTGCTGGCTCCTCCTGCGCAGCTGCTAAATCACTCACTGGCTGGAGCTGTCCTTTCGACCACTAACTGAGCATGGCCGTTCTTTACAGGCGGCCCCTCCCAGCTCCACAACTGCTGCTCCCAGCTTCCTGGCTGCAGGTGGCCCACTGACCCTGCTCCCTCAGGCCTCTGCAGGGCCTGCTGCCTCCTCCAGTCTGCTCTCTCACTGGGGAAGTGGAGAGCCTTAGCCACAGGAAATTCTGAGAATTAGCACGTGAAACAGACAGACACATTGTAGCCGGTCCCCAGGACACACTCAAGAAATGATCATCTGGGCCAGGTTTTTAGCTTAGTGGTTCTGGTGCCTGCCTCGCAAGCACACAGGCCCGAGTTCGATCTCCAATACCAAAGGAAAAAAAAAAAGAAAGAAAAGAAAGAAAAGAAAGAAAAGAAAGAAAAGAAAGAAAGAAAGAAATCTGCTTCTTGCCTATTTTTAAAGCTTGCTTTGATGGAGCCAGGTGACAGCACACGACTGTACAAGCAGAAGGAACACAAGTTCGAGCCCAGCCTGGGAAACTTAGCAACTTTGTAAGGCTGTCTCAAAATTTAAAACAATAAATAAATAAGGTTTAGGGGTGTAGCTAAGTACAATGGTCCTGAGTTCAATTCCTAGTACTGAAGAGAGAAAAATTGTTTTAGTGGGGGCCCCATTCCCCATAACTCACTGGGAAAGAAACTGTTAAAAGGACTTCTGGTACATCACAGTGCAGCCCAGAGACTGAAAGCTCCTACACAGGGCCCAAGTGGGGCAGCTGGAAAACCACAGGATCGGGTGGGACAGGCAAGGGCTCCAAGCCAGGGCGGCAGAGCCCAAGACAGGCAGGAGAGCGGGCCTGGGGGGCCCAGACACGAGCACATGGCGGGGGGCTGGGAGCAGAGAGGCCTCGTTCTGTGAGCATCTTCACGCCACGCGCTGCACACACACAGGCACTCCGCTTTTCCTGTGCAAGGCTGTGCCCCCTAAAACACAGTGCACCTGCCCAGAAGTGCACTGTGCTATTCTTAGGCGTGTGATCGCCTGGTCACAGAGGGAACTAGGGGCAGCAGCTTCAGGGATGTCTGTGAGAGACCGCTCACGACGATGGAGAAGGGTGTGGAGAGGTGACACTCACAGGGAAAGAAGTGACTCAAGGGTGTAAACCAGCATCAGCAGATGTGACGGGAGGCGGAAAGGGAGGAAATCGAAGCATCTCACAGGCATGAGTGTCTTCCATCTTGCCACTCTGCTTCATCCTGGGGTGCTCTTCCCCCCAGTAACTATGTTCTCAGAGCCTTCCACGCACCAGGACTGACCAAGGCGCTGGGGCACAGAGGTGGCCATGTGAAAAGGCCCTCGACTCTCTGGGAGCTCACATTCTGGACGGAAGAGGTAAACAACCAGCAAGTATGAGAATAAAGAGTGTCTGAAAACAGAGAACGCGAGCAGGGTGACAGCACTGTGACAGCTCCACAGCGCTCTGGAGGGGCATTCTTGTGTCAGGAAGGGACAGCCACGCAGAGATCGGAGGAACAATGCTCCAGACAGTGGGACATCCGAGGAAAGGAGCCAAGTTGGAAAGTGGGACCCACACTGAGAAGCAATGAATGTTGTGGTTGCTGCTGCCAAAGAAAGGCCCGGGTGACCAGAGCACGGTGAGAAGGGGAAATGGGGACACGCTGAGGTCTGAGAGGTGAGCGGGCACCAGGCCCCGAAGGGCTCTGCGTGATGCAATCTGGGTTTCTTTGAACACTGACAGGGAGCAGTAAGTGGGTTTCAGTAGGGGAAGAGTATTTTCTAAAATGTGTTTAAAATTCATTCTTATGGAGAAGGAATAGTATGCTTTGATCTATAGGTTAAAAGGATTGCACTGGTGTGTGTTCCACAGAGAATGGGCGGTGAGTGGAAACAGGGCAGGGAGGTGTAAAGAAGCCATTGCTTGGCCCAAGGTGGCAGTTATGGACAGGAGAGGCAGGCACAGATCTAATTTCACGGCAAAGTCCGAAATGTTTGTCTGTAGACTCAAGCAAGTGTGCGAGGACAGCTGGAGTATGGGAGGGAGAGAATGGCCTGCAGAGTGGCTGGGAGCCCAGGCAAAATTTACTATTTCAACCATTCTTAAGTTACTCACACAGGGCAGAGCATGTAGGAGGGCCTGGGCACACGCATACACACGCACACACCCAGTGCATCCACACTGCTGTGCAGCCATCCTCAGCCTCCATCTTCAGAACTCTTCTATCTTCCCAAACTAAAACTCCAAACCCATTAAACATCATCTCCCACTTCCCACCCCTCCTCTTCCCTTGCAACCATTATTCACTACTTTCTGTCTATAAATTTGACAATTCTCAGTACATTCTCTATTTATCCTTTTGTGTCTGGATGGCTATAGGTTTTCAAAAGTAAGGTTCGCCCAATTCACAGTAACACCAACCAGCACTTTCTCCGGAACTGCCTGCAGCCTCGGGGACGATGTGACTACAGATTTCTTTCTTTCCGTGGAGGTGGTGTCCAACCACCCAAAGCCCTATCCCTTCCACTGCCCCATCTATAACACATGGACTAGCTCCTGGAGACTTAGCTTGAGCACCCTATGTAGTGAGTGTTTGAAAAGTAAACATCTTCAAAATCATATTTGCCTTATAAAAATAACAATCTTTGAAAGGTAACATTTGTCTTCCTTGTTTTGCTAGTGACCAGGGAATTTTCCATTCTTACAGACCGTGCAAAAGATCTCCATTGCAAAGCACGTTTTGAGGCTCTGAAATACTCCCAAAGTTAATTTTGTGCAGGTACCTAAAGCATGAAAGTCCCAATCCACTAAGAGCTAATATTCCAGCCCCAGAGGTGGGTCAAAAAGCAGGATCTTAAACACATCAACTCTAAAGCTAAGAGCCTTCACAGTGAATAAAAGGTATGGTACAATTCAAGCTAACTATAATTCTGCTTCTCACCTTCCTTGGATCATGGAAAGGGAGGGAGGCTGAGAGAAAGTAAAGGTTACAGTTTCTCACCATGTGAACCCAGCATGAGGAGTGGAGAGGGAGGAGGGCATTGAGAATCATGCCCAACATACACCCAACCCTTCATCCATGCCAGGTACTCTCCTAAGCCACACATGTGCACACTTAATCTTCCCATCCACACTGCCTGGTTAAGTGCTATTACTATCCCCTCCGCAAGGAACTGACAGACAGGAAAGTTCAGTAACTGCCCCATCAGCCCACAGCTAGGGATAAAGCCAGCATCTGAACCCAAACAGAGT